GTTGTGCTGTGCTGCTGTTGCTTCTGCCTTCCGTCACCCTCCTTCAGAATGCCAAGTCTTGCCCTGGTGCCACCAACAAGCCTTTGCCTGGAGTTTGTTTGGATGACTGTGTTCAGTGTGTAAAATTGTTCAGGCCTGGAATGGTAAATAAGCCCTGATATCAACCACCTTAAGAATCTGCCTGGGCCAAAATCAGTTTGTGCTCTTAGATGTCACGTTGCATTCCTGTCTGCTCTGGAAGAAGCAAAGTTCCTCAACCCTCCTCAAGCTGTGTCTCTGCAGGGTTTTTACCACTTAAGTTTTTAGCAAAGAAAGGTGTTTGTTTCAGAGGGCAGAGGCAGAAGCTGCATTCTGGAACTAACAAAACCTAAGGCAACTCATAGTTTCCCGTAAATTTTTTTTGGGGGATCTAAGTTTGATTTCATAAGTGTTGGACAGGTCAGAGACTGCAGCCAGAGCTGGAAGGGCTCAGCAGTGCTGAAAACTGGTCTGCAGCTTTGAGTGACTGGAAGGCAGTTTTCTCTGGCCTGGCAGTCAGTAGCAGTAAATTCAGGTACTCATTTTTTTGCTCTTTGGTTTGTTTGTTTTACTTTTTTTTTTTTTTCCTGGAAGTTACTGAACAAAATAATCCACTGCTGATGTTTAAGAAAACTTGAAGATGTTTCAATGAGAAGTCATGTCAGACTCCTCAGCCAGATAAAGTGGAAGGACTCTTCTGAAAATGTGGGAGTATTTGCAGGGAATAACACTGTCAGTGTTGATCTGCTAGGGAGAACATCTGTGTGCAATGCTTTATTCAAAGCAGATGGGTAGCAGAGTGGGGGAAGGGATGTTGTTTAACCCTTGGTTTCAAGCCAGTATTTTCCCCCCTCAGCTGCTGTAATTTGGATGCATTTTCTGATGCTTAAAATGCTGACTCCTTCTTTTTCTTCGCTTCTTGTAAAGTTCATCCTCGATGGGGAGTTCTGCTTCCAAAAGGTTTTGTTAGCAAATACATACATGGTGCTTCTTTTTGAAATTTATGGGCAGTATGTTTTATCTCGTTGTTGTATCTGAACATTTGACACTGAAGATAAATATGTTAGAAATTGTGTGTATTCCCTTGAGGGAATATGCTATTAATGCCATTGTACAGATGAGGAGCTGGAGTATGGGGATGCTCTGCCAAAGCAAATAACTGAACCTGGGTTTTTCCACATCTTATGTTAGTGTTGTAACATTTAGAGGTGAATGCAAGCTAGATTTCTGTTTATGCATGGTGTGAGCATTAAGGGAAAAGGCAGTGACTGTGCTGACTTTAGTTACTATTAATTTTTTTTTTTTTCAGCTATCCCAGGTGCTTGTTTATTTGTTTCAGTTGTCTAATTTAAGCTACCAAATAATATTTGAATGGAGGGATCATCTTTTCAGCAGCCTGAAAGAACCTCTGCTGATGCAACCACTGCTTAGGGAGTATGGGGTACCCAAAACGTCCTGGTAACAAGCAACTAAAGTGTGAACCTCAGCTGAGGTGAATGAGACCTTCCATGACAGGTGAAGTGCAGGCAAAAAACTGGAGATACATTATAATTTCATGAAGTACAGAAGTGGGTGTGATATCATCCATTTGCCTCCTCTCAGCCCCACCAGACAGTGAGGGGCTACAGCCCTGTTTATAAGGTGAGGACAGCTTGTGTGAGCTGTCCCAAGTACAGATGCCAGGCTGGGGGTCATAGCAGCTCAGGGAAGCTGAGCACTAAAGACACCAGGACATGCTCTTGTCCTGAAGCATGTAGTAGTTTTAGGTTTTAACAGTAGTTTTTGTGACATGCTTGCAGAGGAAGAGTCTGTGGGATCGAATTGTTACAGCTGTACTTCCACGATGTGACTTCTGCTTTAGAAGATGTGACAGAGTTTTGATGCGTGTTTCTTTGCTGTCCTGTGATGCTGCTATGTCTGGTGTGTCTGATATGTCTGCAGGCACACAAAGCCCTGGCTCCTCTAGAGAAAAATGTTGGGTTTATTTTGTCTGAGCGATTCTGTATTTGTTTATGATGCTCACAGGTTGAAAACATCCTGCTGCACGATCGTGGCCACTATGTCCTGTGTGACTTTGGAAGTGCTACTAACAAATTCCAGAACCCTCAAACAGAAGGGGTGAATGCTGTAGAGGAGGAGATCAAAAAGTAAGTGTGCTTTCCCTTTTCCACTCGGGGACAGTCTGTATTTGAAGGGTGACTTTTTCCTGAATGGGGACTAGATTTTATGCAGGCCTGTTGCAGCAGACTGGATGCTGCTGTACAGAAGTGTCTGCTGCAGGTAAATTAGTGCCTGGGGGAGGGTGAAACAATAAATTGAGCTTGATTTGATTGCTTTGGACCTGAAAGACTGAGCGTACTAATGTAGAGAAGTTGCCCACCTTGACGAGGTAGTGACAGGCTCTGTTATCTATGGGGTCAGTCTGTCTCTGTCCCTCATCTATCTTGGCTCCTTTGAGCTGCAGTACAGCAGGTGACAAAATCCCTGTCCTCCATGAGCCACTCATCATAAATCCTTGCAGTGACTAAGGGAATGCATGGCCTGACTCCTCAGCTCTTCACTGAAAATGTAAGGACCTTAAGGTGTTCAATGGCTCCTTCTCTTGCCCTGTGCACAACTGTAGTGGCAGCAACAAGGTGCACCTTGAGAGGGAACTCAGCAGGGCCTACATCAGGAATGGAGCAGACTCCAGGCCCTTGGTCTTGCTTTAGTTTAAACAACATCACTGCTGCAAACTTCCTAACTCTGTTAATACAATATTGTGGCTAGAGAACAGCATATTAGAAATGTGTGCAAATGCCTCCTTTTTTGTTAAGATTCAGTTACACCTGCGTGGATTTCCTAGGTCTGTTTGAAGCTTTCAGAGCACTCCTAGCCTGGCTTTGCAGTCCCTTTGGAACGCCCTATTTGTACACTTATTAACCAGCCTACAAAACCTTTGCCTGTAGCAATGCTGTTTTTGTGAGCAAGGTAAATTGCGTGCAAGGTGCTACAGCAGAAATTCTAGACCTGCTGATAGGAAATCTTATCGCAAGAGTCTCTTAAACTGTGTTGCAGTTTCCAGCTTTTCTCTTTGTTGTGGTTAGTTCAAACGAGGCAGTTTCTAGCTGTAGTTTAAGGTACAAAATAACCTTTCCCTTGTTTATAGTGACTCTGAGGAGGAGTCCTGGTAGGGAAGTGTATTTATTAGGAGCCACGTATCCAGTTACAATCTTTGTAATACAGTTGGCCAAAGCCCCAGCAGTGAGGACATTGCAGAGGACTGCTGACCTTGGTGATACTCTGAATCCTTGAGTATTTCTAGTCTCATTCTTCAGATGGCTGTACTGTTTTGTGAGTAAATTGCTTGCTTTGGAAAGGATGTTGGTTACTGCTTTATTTCACAGGGCAGTTTGCAATGTGTTTTATTCTTTGAGATGTGTAGCAGATGCTGCTGTTAAAAGATATTTCCAACAGATTGTATTTAGTGTCCCTTTCCCTAAAATATTTTAGGTAAGAGAGAATTTGGAATTGTTTGGAGAAGTGACATAGTGAAAATGCATCTATTATCCATTTTCAACTCACTAATAGATCTTTCTGCTACAGATACACTACGTTATCCTACAGAGCACCAGAAATGGTCAACCTGTACAGTGGCAAACTAATAACTACAAAAGCAGACATATGGGTATGTATAAAAACTGCTCAGCATCATCCAGCCAGACTCAGCTTACATTCATTACCACAGTGACAGGGTAACTTTCTTGCCTGGGCTAGCTTAGTTTCATAGAATCTTAAAATGGTTTGGGTCAGAAGGGACCTTACAGATCATCTAGTTCCAACACTCCTGCATGGGCAGGGACACCTGACACCAGCCCAGGTTGCTCCAAGCCCCATCCAACCTGCCCTTGAACACTTCCAGGGATGGGGCAGCCACAGCTTCCCTAGGCAACCTGGGCCAGGGTCTCACCACCCTCACAGGGAAGAATTCCCTCCCAATGTCTAACCTAAATCTCCCTCTTCCAGTTTTAAACCTTTTCTCCTTGTCTTACCACTACACACCCTGATAAAAAGTCCCTCCTTGGCTTTCCCGCAGCCCCTTCAGGTACTGGAGAGAGAGACTGGACTTCCATAAGAGACTGAACAGTTTCTTAATAAGAGAGTTCTTCTACTTGGAAAAAACCTGCTGAGCAGGGTGGCTTATGGATAAAACACTCAGGTTTCTTTGCACGCTCCGTCCTGCGTGGCTGTAATTTAGAGATGGATGAAATTCCAGGGTTGAACAGTGCAAACCTGATTTAGTATCTGAAGAGTTAAAACAGAAAATTCAGAATCCTGTGACTTCTTGTGCCTGGGTTGGGTTGCACATGTGAAATCAAAGTTGCTGGTCAGACTTTAGTGGAAGACTGAGAAAACAGACCTTCCCCCAGCAGCACTAGCACACTTATCCTAGAATGTAACAAAGGTCTGAGCTGTCAAACCTGGCTGAAGACCCAGATTTTCCACTGCTGTTGAAGGATCAGTGCAGTCTTGCCATGGTTTTTATGAGAGCAGCTGGGGTGGACTCCATGGCTGACTAACCTGCTCAAAGATGGAAAGCTTCCCTTGAGTTGGGAGGGAGGTGAAAAACAAGCCTGTGCTGTTTGTAGCAGAGCAGCAGTTCAGCAAACGGGATGTTTAAAGTGCGAATTCAGCCCATGTCTGTGTGGTTTCTGAAGCACTGAGCTAGGCAGTAACAAGGCAGAAGCAGTATAAGGGGAGTTTTAATGTATCTTCAGTAGCTCTACAGATGCAAGAGGGAAAATTGCTGGTGTGACATCTGCTGGGCTGAACTCTGTCCCCTCAGTGAGCTCTGCTGGGATGAGGAGCATGGTGG